CTGATCTTACTCAAGTTTTTCTATGTCTTTGGAATAGCAAATGTTTCAAGAAAAGAAAAGAACTCTAGTCCTTACACAGCAAAGAGAGGAGGAATGTCTTTACAACAAAAACAAAAACCAAGAAATTTTTGACACTGCTGATCATGACAATTCCATTCGAATCTTTCACCTCATTTTCAAGAAAAATGCATTCAGCCTGGATTGGGGAATGGAGAGCCAATATTGGAAAGGAAAACAATAATGTATCTTTCTTGCTCTAAGAAAATACTACATTTCTCTTAAAACAAAGCAGTCCACTATAGAAATAATAATTCCAGTAATAGGACAGTTGTGCTAATCCCCCTAGAATAAAATCTAAGTTTACCTTTACAGCACAAAAGTCAAAATATTCCAACTAGAAGGATCCTTGACCCATATTTATTTTCCATGCCTTTCAATAGGAAAATATGTTCTGATGCTAAGCACTCCATACATCCTTGGTTTGCTATCTGTGCAGAAGATTTTATTCTAAATGTGCAGCTTAATTTATGTTTTAAACTTTCCATGTTTAATCAATTACAATAATAATATATTTCTTAAAGCTCTTCCAGTGAAACCATCAGTTTTGTACTTTTATACAGTGTTCTTCTATTTATTTTCATTTATATTTAATTCCAATTGTTTCATAGCCTAATATATTGTTTACTTATATCTTGCTAGCATTTATTATAATTACTACATCTTAATTTTTATTCTATTTTTGACCCATCGAACATGTACTTTTATAACTTATTTGTTGAACTCAAGTGCTTGAGTTTGTGTTTCAAGATACTAAATTCCATTTAGGACTTATTTTCTCCCTTCCACAATTAATTAATAATAGTCTGAAGTTCATTGACTGCTCCAGTTGTATCAATAGTATTTTTAGTTTGGTCATGTCAGCAAATTGTAGATACTCTGCAAAATCTTGTTCTCGTTTCTTTGCTTTCAAAATACACATTAATCTAGTCCCAGTACTGAAGTGAGACTGAGTGGCCCCAATACATTAGCTTTGGTTTTAGCCTGAGACTGTAAGCCAGTCTTTTATTCTTTTCTTCAGTTTAAATAAAATCTTAAAACCTTGATAAATGTTTCTCCTGACCTTTCTGATAAAAATTCAGGAAAATCCACATATATACTCTTGGGTTTATATATAACTTCTAAGAGAACTCCCAGTTTTGTATCATAAATCCTATTCTTTCTTTACCAGCATCAAGCAATTTGATTTATAATACTCTAATGTTTTCCCTTGTACCTACAGTTAAAAAAACAGAATGGCAATCATAAGCAAGTTGGAGGCAGAAGGAAAGAAGAATACTTTCTTTCTTGTCTCACTAAAATATAACCAAGAAATGGTCTGGTCCCTTTTGCAATTCCAACAGTAACGAGGTCAGGTTTTTTTTTTGTCTTCTTCTTGGACAAAAAAGCTGCTATAAAATATATATTCCTCCATCTATCTGTACAAAGTATGGCTTCTTTGAGATCTCTTTACATAAAAATATACTTAAATTGTAGGTTTGGACTATTGAGTCTTGATCTAGTATTACACATCTGTGGATGATTTTCAGATGGATCTGTCTGACAGTAACGTTTTTTTCATCACTTCAATTCATAATACCAACATCTATTGATTTCACAATTATTTTTCCTATTTGCCTTCTGCATATACAGCTAAAATTCAAGTAGAGTGCATATCAACCACAAATGCCAATGATATTTAATAGATGTGCTCATTTCACAGCTGCAAAATCGATCATCTTCAGCGATCTCCATCTTCATCTCTTTGTCACTTCTAGTATTCCAGAGTAATGGAAAATGGACCATTGATAGCTGAGGTCAGCCTTGGGCAAGCTAGCATTCAAAAAACATTCTGGTGCTATTGTCCCACCTACTTGATTTAAGACTAGGTTTTACTATTGCCATTTATCTTAAATAAACTTTTTCAAACCTCCTTTCACAAATAAGGCGTTCTGGCCTAGCTTTTCATTAAAGCCCATTGCCTGAAATTCAGTAATTTAACAATCCAGTGTTAATCCTTGCAATGTTAAGCTTGCAATGTTAGTGCAATTACTTTTTTTTTTAAGTATATTTGATGGTCTTCTAGAAGATCAAAATGCTAAAAACTAAAACAAAGGACATGCAAGGCCAACAACTAAAATGTCTTCTCAGATTTTTTCAATAGATTTCCTTTTTATCATAGTTGTTAGAAGGGTATAATTGTCATATTAATCTTTGTTCTGGCAAAAGGTACATCTCTTTCCATTTCCGAAGGTGACAGAAAAGCTGCCCTACATCTAGACAGTATAGTTCCATGAATAATTGGTTTGCACATTCGATCTGATAGTGAAAAGATGAATATGAATATCCTGCTTATCTGAAATGTAAAATGAAAAAAGCTAAGTCTCTTTCCAGGTTAAGCATTATTTTGAATAGTTCCATTGTCTCACATTCCTTCTGGTAAAACTTCATCATTTATTCAGTAACTCAAGCGTCTCCAATGCATTAATTGTGTAGACTGTAACATAACAGACAGCCCTTGTTTTGTGAATATAACATTCCTGGCACATACTGTAATTATCTAGCTTCTAAATAAGAAAAAAAAAAAAAAAAAAAAAGGAAGACCTGAATGCAAAATCAATTGATTAATGCAAAAATTAAACACCACGTTTGAATAAATGACTTTTATCATTGCTACCCAGTGCTTTACAAGGAGCTGTGCTGTCACCACTTTAAAAGTTTTCTAAAATATTTTAAATAAAATTTAAAAATCCATATGCAGAGCTTTACAGTTTCAAAGCACATCATTGGTAGTAACTCATCCACAATCCCAAGACACAGATAAGCACCTGTTACTGCTTATCTTCCAGTTGTTCTGTCCTTAGTGTACACCTAACATGGATGGGTATCACTCTTAGCTGACAGCCACCAAACAGGCTGTGCATCAGTGCTGCAACGTCAAAGACAATGAGAGAACATTTTCTCAGAGATGAACAGATTATGACTTTCCTTATAGTAAGTTCAGTAATGTAGGGCATTTGTTTCTCTTAAAGGAAGGTTCTACTATCCCACTAGCAGAAAGCACAGACTAAAAAAAACAAGGAGAGAAGGCAATAAGGTTAACCTGGTTTAATCAACATCAAAAGCTTAACTTAGACCTCGAATTAATCTTTTCTCAATGAAATGGTCTGTAAACTAGCACTGTACTACAGTACTCTGAGTATTTAATTTCTCAGAGTTCAGAATTTCCCTTTGTTGAAACACTTGTATGTGTTATGAATACAGAAGAAATATTTCCAGAAGAAAAGGCATTTCCTGCTTTGTAATATGCAGACAGGGCTGACACTGCTTCCATATTGATGGTAAGATATTTATATTTTCTAGAGAAACAGCAAAAGAAGCTTGAGGTTTAGTCCTGCACTACTATTCTAATGCCACATGGTGACTGAGCTATTTCTCTCACATTGAGCTATGCCTTTTACTATTACCAAAGCCATTCAGATATCAAACACACATTTTCTTGTGAAGAAAATCAAGTCTATCTGCACTATGAGAGCTGAAGAAGAGCATTATTTATATAATAGGATTAGATTTTTTTTTCTTTTATATACCATAAGAAGCAATAAAAGATTGCTACCTCTTCTTTCAACCTCAATAGAAGCAGGGTTCTGCTTTGATGCATGAGATTAGCTATTTAATGAGAACCAAAACATGTACCTTTCCTCCTTTTTTCAGTCTGTCTTATGGCCTGCAATACTCAGCATCATTTGCTGAAACTGCATGAAGAATAAGCAGCTTCAGCTCTCTTGTGATGTTTCCCTTCCAACAGCCATGGAAAAACTCGATGTAAAGTATTCATCAGACTTCTAAAAGCTCTGGCAGAGTTATTTCTTGGACTCTGAGCAGTAATCTAAACCAAGGTAGTCACTGCTGAGAAAAGTTTCAGTGTCTACTTTTAGAATGACAAATGACCTACAGGTTCCTTAAACACTGATGTTCCTCTTGGAATCTTTTTTTCTATAAAGGTCTTTTTTCCTCCCAGATGAGCTACATATTTCTGAATTTCAAAAAAATGGATCTGCGACCCTGGTTTGTAGGCAGTGTTAGATAAGCCAAGTCTTCTGTCTCTTTTTGTTCTCTGAAGATATTTGGCTCAGTAGCTGCAGCAATTGAGAATCCTGTTGCTGTTTGATTTCATAAATTGCTTCCATACTGAAGGTAAAAATAGGCACTGTTTGTAAATACTATTTCATGCCTCAAGCAGACAAGAAAAAGCTCTGATTTTCCATCTGGCTCCATACTGTTTGATTTCTTAACAGATTTGAGCCAGTTAGGAAGCTACTAATGTTTTTAATTAAAAATAATTTCAATTAATATTTTTAATAGAAAATTTTTACTGGGGGCATCCTGTAAGCCTGAAAGAATGGGAAAAAAAACCATGCTCCTTTCAATAGGAAAAATCACTACATTAAAAGTAGTCCTTATTGTAGAGAAGCCTATGGATAGATATGGAATACTGACTGCACAAGAACTGCCACAGTGGGTCAGGCAGAGGCTCATCTAATCCAGTGCTTCTTCACTGGCATCAACAAGTGGATGTTTAAGTAAACAAAAAGAGCACCATTTCGTGTTTCCCAAGTATCAACACTCATAAGTTTAAACAAGGAAAATGATAACTAATGAGGTCACTTGTCTAATCAAGCATTTAGTCAAGAGTACACTTTTTAAAAACCCAAATTGTCATTTTCTGAAGTTCTCCACATTGTCACCATAACTGGCAGTGGTAAATGAAATCCAATGATAATGTGTGAGAGCAGCACTTTGCCAATTACAAAAACTAGCAAACTTAAATCCTGATCGTGCAACAAATCAATGAGAGTTTTCTCACATTAGTCAAATTGACAACTGGGACCAAAACTGAACAAAATAATCCAAGCAGCAATTTGCTACTATAAAAAAAAAAATGTTAATTTCTTTGGACACAGACTTAAGAAAGAACTGGAAAATTACAAAGATGATGACTGGGAAAGCATCTACGAGACTCTTCGAACAGAAGTTGAAATTCTGCAAATGGTATGCTATTCTCACTACATATTTTAAGTGCTTGATATTTATAAAGGTGTAATTTAAGATGATTAGCAGTGGTTTTAGATAAGCATTTTATACTGTGTACAAAGCCAAACATCCTTGCATTGCAGGTGCACTCAATTCCCATCTGTTTTAACCTATTGTTTCCTGGTGTCCAGGAATATAAGCAGAAAAAGAATTTAAATACACATTGTTAACAGAAGAAAGATCTTTATGGGGTATAGCAATAATCATTAATTTCTTGAAAGGTGCAAACTACTATGCATTTAGGAGCTAAGTTAATCTTTAACTCCAGCTGTCAGTTAAATGAAAGATGGGAATATGGAAAAATAAGACCATAATTGCATCCTTTTAGGGAAACATTTTATTTTGCCCACTCACAATTTCTTCACAAAAATCTGTTAAATTATGTTTTTCTCTAGATGTCAGTCCTAACTCACATTTTTTGATTGTCAGTCTGTGTAACAACACAAAGAGAAGAAATGTTTCGAAGTCTCATTTTTGAAAACAAAAGGTTTTTTAAAAGTTCATTTTGGAGCCCCTGATTGAGTTGTATGAAGATGCAGCTGTTATTCTGCATCAATAGCGGAATATCAGTCATGGAAATTTTGTATTACTGACTCATGATCATTTTCAAATTCCTGTTGGAGGCATGTAACTTTCTTCTGCTTCATCCATTAATTTTATTATGCCTGTCAAACTTCAGAAACAAAAACAGTGTAATGTTTAAAAGCTTCTCTGTAAAGAACACAGTGAACTCATTCAATTTGATTTTCTATAATTCAATTCTTTCTGTTTTCCAGAAACTATCACAGAAAAAGTCTACAGACAAGTGAATAATGTGTGACACGTCTTATGAAGTGTCACAGAAGTTAGTCTGAGTATTGTAAAACAATTTTACTCAGGCTCTCTCAGGATTGCCTTTTGTGTTTCTCGTTTGGTTAAACCATAGTTTGTATATGCCTTTATTTTACATTAAGATTGATTTGTATTAATATAAAAGTGGGGGGGAGGGGGAGGAGAGGAGGGGGAAGATGGGGTTGTTTGTCTTTTCTCTTTTTCTCTGTGTTTATCTGTCCTCAAATCAACAGCTATCCATCCTTAGATTCCTCTGTTGCTCATGAATGGACAACACTTCATCTGCAACACATACAGCCAAGTTACCATATTACAAACTCCATTCCCTATGCACTGTTTTTCAGAAGGAGCATTCTCCTTTTAAGTTAGCAATGTGGTCTTATCTGGGAGGAAGACTGCTATTATCATCAATAAATAAAGTGGATTAAACAGCTTTGGCTATTTACTTTATAACTTGACAATGCAGTTCTCTAACAAGCTCTCTCAAACAGCTCAACTCAATTAATACAGGATGATTGCACAGAATAATTTACAAATCTACAGACCAATAGATGTTTCCAGTTATTGTAAACCAGTCCGCTACTTAGCATTTGTTGTATCATAAAACTTATTCTCTTCTCCCACAACCTGTGAGATACTGAATGCACTTCACCACTTGACAATAGACTAAACTATTTAAATGAGAAGTTCACATTTCTGGGGAAGCAGTGAAGAAATTCCATTAAGTAAGGAAATTTCATCATTCAGGAATGTGCAACATTTTTCCCACCTGAGTGAGACGAATAACTGTTCTGCACTGGTTTTTCTACAGTCAGAGCTCTCATAGCTCTGTTACACATAAAGCTGCAAGAGGTGCTTTATTAGGAGGGTAGGAATCAATCTCTTTGGAAGTTGACCACATTTTGTCTGAGATGTTGAAAGTTTTTTTCCTGTTCAGACACAGATGCCTTTTCAAATTTCTGTCAAGGTTTAATCTGCAGCATTAGGATCAAAGAGCATTCTGAATCTTTTTGTTAACTAGGATAATTCCAAGAGGTTGGAACTATCCTAATTGCCAGTGCTGTGGTAGCAAAATTCCTTATAAGGTTGGTTTGTTTTTTCCATAAAAAAGATCCTCCTAGGATATGCTTAATTTTTAAACAACTAAGATGCTCTCACTCCTATGGGACTGCCTAACTCTGTAAGTTAGGCAAGTACTGCTTGTGGGTTTTGGTCAAATTCAGAGCATTTACGAAGTGGCACAGTTGCATATTAGAGTGTCTAAAGACAGCAATCTTTCAGGTTTTAGATGCTGGAAGCAATTATAAATTCATGATTTGCAAGTATAGCAAAGTTTATCCCTGTCATTTTATTAATCTAATTGAGCTTGCCTACATTAAGTATATTAATTAATCAACCAGGAAAAACTTGCTTTTGAACTTCATTTTTTTTCCACATATGGTCGCTTTATGTACAAGAATCCCTTGCATTTCTTTGGAATGAGCCAATATTTACATAGTTATGCAGTCCATACACAAGAGAAAAAAAGCAGAACAAACCCTCAGGTTATTACATAAAACAGAACTCAGTGGCTTAGATCAGAATTGCAAATGTGCAATTTACAGGTAAATGAAATGAGCAATAGCATCCAATAGCCATATTAGATCCATAAATATGATAAATTTATGTCCCTAAGTGGCCTGAAAATACATCTGGGGAAAAGCAATACAGCGTGCCCTTTTCAGAGTTATTTCTGATTCAACAAAACTCGTTGTAGCTTCAGATTTTTTTTTTCTTTTTTCTTTTTTAAATAGTTGTGAAGGTCTAAATTTTTCATTATTTTAGCAGAATTATAGCATAAGTATAGCAACATTTGTAACAACTCAAATGGCTAAACCTCTCAATCAATAGGACAACAAACTAGGAATAAAGCTCACAAAAAAAATTTTAAAAAAGTGAAACAAATCAATATAAATCCCATTGGGCTGAACAAATCCCTCAACAGCTTTAATAAAATGTGTATTGTTGGACTCACCCAGCTGCTAGAGGGTAGAAGTTAAACATACTGATTTCTCTGAGTAGAAAAATACATTTGTCATCACTGTTTCATGATTAATATAATCTGGGACCGATATAATGTTTCTGTCTCGAAAATTCAAGCAAAAATTTAAGTTAAAAATGTGCTTTGTGAATTATCTTTAAAATTCTTCAGTCCAGGAGTGACTAATCTTTAAAATAAAGAGTGAAAAAGAATCAGAACTCTTCTTATAGTTAATTAATTTGTCAAAGAAGAGAACATTGCCAAACTACCATGAAAACACAGATAGAGTTATTGGGAATAAATTAATTATTTCATAGATGACACTGTAATAAATACTATTCTTTTAAGTATAGAACATATATTGGATTGAGAACTGTGTTTTTTAGGAGAACAGAGGAATACTCCCTCATTTCTTACAGTGGCTAAAGAACTGCTTAAGATTAAAATATTTACCTGATAGGGATTGAGATATGACAAGAGTCATGTTCTACATGCTTTCTAAATGATGAGCTCCAGCTGTATCTAGGCTTACATGCTGACACCACAGCACCTCTGCTCTGTGACCACTTCCCCTTAAGATCCAGCTGAACAAACTGAAATATTTTAAAATCACAGCTCCTGACCATACTTTCTAAAAGGCACTTCCAAGCAGCAGCCCAGTGCAAACAGGTGATTCCAGTGGAGAATCTTTGGAGAAAGATGATCCAACTGTAAACTAGTTATGCCAGGATTTAGACCCAGAACTTGTCATACAACTAAATCTACAAGGCTGGCTGTTGGGGACACCCAACCAGGAAGTTGTCAGCCTATAGGGCTGTACTCAGAAACAGGAGGCTCAGAGAGCAAAATACCCAACAAGCCAGAAAACAGAACAGAAACCACAGGAAAGATTATAATTTAACTATACCAAAAGCCCCTGATGTTACTCACTTTACTCAGTTATCTCCCTATTTTTAAACAGGTGCAGCTGGCAGAAAAGAGTGAGAGAAACTAAACAATGCACTTGTTTTGATCCTTATAACAAGGAGTTAAACCACCACATTTTCCTGTTCTTTGTTGATTATTAACGGGCCAAATGAAAGACTGTATATAGATGAGAACCACTAAAATATCTGACCACAGAATAAACTTACAGTTAGGTAATGCAGCAGTACCCACACAAATTATCTCTAATTGGTTGATGCAAATGCAATTGAATTCAGAGTACTGCCAAATTATTGTTAAAACAATAATCAAGAATATGTTGTGCATACACATACATTAAAAGTACATCCAGCAGAGTGACACACCGACTTGGTGAAAAAAATCATATATATGGCATGGGGCAAAATGTCAATTAATGTCCCAAGTGAAAGGAATATTTATTTTTAACATCTGAGTCTGAGCTATATGTATATAGATCAGAAAAGGCTAGGAAAAGTACCTGCAAGGCCAACCCTTGCCACAAGGGTGTAATGAGGATCATGAGTTCAGGTCAATAAAGAACTGGAGCACATAGAATTGGGTTTGCATCCTAAGAAAGAATATATATCTAAATTCATAAAGCATCTCACTTCGATGAAAAGCACAGAAGAGACAACAGGTGAGTGTGAAAGAGTCACAATTCCTGCAATAACGATTGGAAAGAACAGAAAGAGAAGAGAGAGCCAACTGGCTTATGTCAGCCTGATCTGAAGTAATGTCCAGAAGCTTTCAGGAACAGAAAACAGCCCTGGGAGATTTCTATGAGAAGATAACAGATTTACTAGGTATGCTGTGTGCCCATTTTGTAAAGCTGACAATGCAATAAACAGCTATTGGGTGAAGAGAACTAGCAAAACAGTCCCAGTTCTCTGCTCTGAAAAGAGTTGTGGCACTACAGTATGTTATCTGGGTAAAGGATCAGATTCAATGTCTAACGATCTATGCCTTGGTTGTCAATAGAGTATTTAAGTAATTGTTCTATGTCTTTTGAACTGTTCTAATCAGAGCTGACTTGCATCGCTGATATACCTCAGCAATAGTCCAGCCTTCCAAATTCCCATCATTCTCACTGCATCTGCTGGGATTTGTCAGCCTCTTACACAAATGCAAATGACTTGTGTAATTATTTGGTTCTCTTACATTCAGTGAATTCAGAGAGGAGGCTGATTTTTATGAAATTTCTATATGCTTCTTTAATTCGCTAGATATCAGTCTAATATTAATAGCTCCTTTTGTATGAAAATATCTATAGTCTGTGCTAAAAGGATTAGGTTTTGAAATACCTACAGAATGAAAATTTCAAATGTCTCGTGAGTAAACATCCTTAAGACCAGATTGGTAAAAACTTCCACTGAGTTGATGTTCCAAGTAGGCAATATACCTTCTTCAGCAATCATTATTCATTCACAGTCACCTCGAGTTCCCTGCTGATACATGTAGGTTTTAATGGTCTTCTTAGCATGGAATTGTTGGCAGAAAGCTTATATTTCATTTACCGTTTCACTAAAATCATAGCACAAAGTGAAATACAACATCACTTGCATCTTCTAAAACACTGGATTTGTTATGCTAAGCTATAAGCTTTCTGCATTTCTTTACAGCCGACCTATGCAGGAACTCCCAGGTACTCCCAGCTTTCTCTGCTCATTTGATAACTCCCATCAGCCCATGTTGGTCAGCCTGGGTAGCTGAGAAGCCTAACAGTTTCTTTGGAAATGTGAAGTGGGAGCTGATCCTTTCTTCCTGCTAGATATTGTGAGTGTTTAAAGACACACACACTTCTTAGAAAAATATTGCCTTAGATTTTTATATGAAAATAATATTTTAACTAGATGAAATGCCAGAAATGACTCTTTATAAATACAAAGAACATTTGTTGTGTTTTTTATTGAAATGATAATTCCTCTTATTGTGTACTAATTTCCAAGTGGTCTTGATATTACATCTCAGTGAGATAGGAGGCCATAGCCTCTCTTTCCCTTTAGAATAGAGCAC